GGGGGGGGGGGGTGTTGTGGGTTTGGAGTTGTTTTGTTGTTGGGTTGTTTTAGGTTTTTTTGTTTTTACCTGAATATATTTTTGTTCTAAAGTCTGTTAGGCAAGTCAAGTTGTGAGAAAAGGAAAAAAAAACTAAACACTTATTTTTATGCACTAGCTTGGAAAAGATGTCTTCAGGGGCACAAAAAAATTTCTTGTCTCTGTTTCTGTAACTTATACTGCTTTAAATGTGTTTAGGTTGGTCCATTATTTATTCTCCTTGAAATGAGGTCTCTCTGTGGAAAGTACACGTTTCTAAGCTGCCATGTGGGACACCAAGAGTCATTCTTTTAATAAATCAGAATTATTTCTAATTTGTTCATATGTAAGTATTCCATAGCTTTCTACTTGGAACAGAAGTTGATTTTACTAGATTAAATTCAATATTACATATAGATTTAAAATGTCAGATGTAAAACAGGCAAAGCTACCATTTAATTTAGGCCATTGGCTACATTCTTGGTGTTGCTAAGTATCATGGTTTCCTTCCCTCCTCTGCACTTTTCTTCATTTCTTCTTTCTCTCATCTATTTACTCAATATGATGTTTACAATTAAATTGTTTGTCTCAAAAACTTTGTTCAACATTTTGGATTTTTGGCATGTATGGTCATGTATTTGGACAGTGATCAAGCTTCTCTCTTATTTAGCTTCTCAAATGTGCCATTTGCTTCTAACACTTAGAAGTTAGAAGCCATTGCTTCTAACACTTGAACAGATGCATGCATCTGTTCTGTATTAGCCTATCTTTTCTTGATAATTAGTTGAGAAAGGAATAAAAGGACTTTGGTTCACATCCTTTCAGTATTTCAGTCTTACTTGGGTGGCCAAATTTGATTGAATAACATTCTAAGAACTCTGAGCTTATCTACATTCAAACCCAATTTAAAATTTTCTCAGAGAATCTATCATGTTTGGTTAAGTTTTTTTATAATATACACTAATAACTGTACTTTCTTTCAGCAGTCAGTCTTGCTAGGTGTTACAATGACACTTTGAAATGAGGCTTTAAGATTTATGTTTGGTCTAGGCAAGCCCTATGAAATTCCTCTGAAGCAAGATGGAAGATGACAAAGACAAAGCAACTAATATTAAAATATTTGAGTGAAAATAGACATCTGTAGCAAGAAAAGAAGTCCAGGGTTCTGTCATTTAGAATATCCTAAATAAATATCACAAATTTCTCTTAGCATTTAATATTTTTCTGCATTCAGTCACCCCCACCACCCCCCAGGGTACATCAGAAGCAAGCATGAGGGGAAACCAGGCTGAAGCTACAGCTGCTGCTTTGATGTGCTGCCTCATGACAACATAGTTATGTCAGATCTGATGTCATGAGGCAGTTTTGTTCTTCCATGTGAGTGGGAACAGAGTGGAACAGACAGATTTCAACCTTCACAATGGCCTCCTGCTCAGCACCACTGCAATTTTCATTAAGTCTCTTTACTGCAAAGGAGAAGAGATTGGCCCCTCGTTTTCATCTTCACATGGACTTGGTTCTCCTCTGCTTCACCATGAGCTGAGTCACAGAGCTGGACATTCTTCAGTGTGCATGGTAAGGAACTGAAATATAACACAAGTGTGAATCCTGTGCCTAATGTCTACCTCTACATGTGATTTCCCAGTCACTGCAACTTTTATTGCCTTTTTTCTATTAAAAGTGACCATTGCAGAAGGACAGAAAAGCTCTTACATCAGCCAAGTATAACCATTACCTCTATTCTCTGTTTTTTTCAACCTTTCACAGTTATTGTGACTGAAGAATGACAGACACGTTTGGCCAAGCAACCTAAATGTAAAAACCACACTTTTACAACACACAGTTGTAATCTGGCAATCTGAGTCTCTGTAACTTGTTGGCCAGATGGGAGTGAGACAGGAAGAGCAGCACTTGCAGAACAGCAGTCACCCAGGCCTGTGCCAGAAGGAGAGAGCTACTAGGGCATGAACTCTCAAAGTTACACACCCAGAGTGCTCTGGATGTGGTCCAGAGCCAGAAGAAATGTAAGTACTGTTTGCTCAATCAACAAGAGGTAAACTTCATATCTTGCACAGTAGCCCTTCCTGCTTCCAAGAGGTCTGCACAGCGCAGTTCCTGAGAGATGGAGAAGAGTCAAGCAGAGTATCCATGAATGCTAGAATTTGCAGCATTCAGGCAAGCATTTGGATTGACCCAGGTGTTTTTTAAAGGGATCTGTGCTACAGAAGTCATGCACTGTACAAGATTCTGATTATCTTTTGGCAATTTTATTTTGTCTCTAAAAATACAGCCATACTTTTTATTGCTCACTTATTTCTTACTTAAAATTATCAGATTCATAATAAGAAAACAGAAACACTCCTTGGTGATATTCCACTGCAGGAGAAATGAAGTGCTCAAAGAAAATCCTGTGGAAGCCTTCTGCACTCTAAAATCATAAGTGAGATGCTCAGGAATGTAGAACTGGTCAGATCTTCAAAGGCAAACATTTTTATTATCTTTTCTCTCATTAGGACACTCTGTCTGCAGTAGAAGTAAGCAACCCTGAAGAGTGGCTTTTAAGAAGTTTTTTTTGGTTGTGGAGGTTTTAAGGAGAAAGGAAAGACAAGGTTTCTTGAAGCATTATTTTGTCATTTAAGAAACTGTTTTCCAAATTTATGACAATCATAATGAATTATTTTCTTAAAATACTTTCTCTCTCTTGATACTACTTGAAATTATTGTGTATTATGGCATGCATCTCTTTCTTAAATACTTAAATACAGTATATAATTTAAGTATGAGCCAAATCTCTGCAAATGCTATCAAATATCTTGGACTTCTCTAACTAACTTTTCAAGTAACACATTCTGATTTACTACTTTGCTGAAAACACAGGAAGGAACAATAGGACTAGAATTTCTTTCAGGGATGCCTTTTAACAAGAGTGGTGAAGCCTAGTATTGAAAGAGTATTTGTTGCATTTGTCATCTCTCTTCAATATTTTTTTAAAAGTTTAAATCTGAATTTAGATCTTTTTGTTCATGGAACTGTCTTTTTATATACATAGCAACATTTCAGCAGGAATCAGATAAGACCAAAGTCTTGCCTCACAAAGTATGACTTTGAGAAAATCTTGTTCTCTTTGGCATTTTCCATCCAAAAATTCAGTTGGAGAAGAATGAGAAGGGAAAATATCTGGGGGCTGGGCAATGAAGTTTCATTCCAAAACTGAAAGGTCTCCCAGATGAATACAGCAAACCAGACAGCCCAGCAGACATGAACTCTGGCCCATAACCTGCAGATAAATCTGATTGCACAGACGATTACCTCCATGGTCCAGTGATGTCAGTGGAAATCCATGCAGGGAGAAGGATTTGTGGGCAGATGTTTGGCTCTGCTCAAGTTAGGGAAGCAGTTCAGGTATTCCATTTCTCTGTAAAGTGAGACAGATTCTTGCTGCCATTCCACACTTTTACAGTAGACCATGATTCAGTTCAAGGCACTAAGAATTGCTGGCTGTCAGGCTGAGATGGATGTTGCATTCATCCTTTACCTCTGGGAAGTTAGCTCCATATCTTGGATAAGGGTGTGAGTGGAAATAAGATTTCATTTTATTTTTTTTTTTATCCTATTGTTATTTCTTATTTGATGCCACACAACAAAGCTTATTCAGTTTTGCCCTGGGTTTGGTCACTTGTGAGGATACATAAAAAAAAGGTGAAATTTGACTTCTAAGAGAATTTCATGGGACAGTTGACTATTATGTAACTAAATCAAAACAATGATGCTGTAGTTTTTATACTTTCATGACAAAATTCCATTCAGAAATAAATTATTTATGCCAGCTTATAAATGTTAAAGGCATCTTCTACTTCTCTATAATCCAGTCATCACTTAATGAAATGCAGAAGAAATGTGTTTTATTTATTTATTCCACCATGTTGCTATTCCAAACTTAGATACATATTTTGTAAGTATTTTTAGTTCTGTTTCCTCTTACTGTCTCTACTTGCTTTCTCCTGTCCTGATGTCATATATGCTTGGCCAAAAAGTAACAGATGTCTCATCGATTACAAATGTAGAAGACTGCCTTGTTGAAGCCTTCAGTAGAAAAAAAGTGAAGTCTTCTGAATGGTTCAAACTTCCTAGTATCTTTTCCTTCCCTCTATCTTTGCTTCTTTTTTCTTTCTTTAGACCCCTTTTTCCTTAAAGACATCTTTTTCTCCCTGTGCTCAGAATACTGTTTTGAAAGCTTTTTCTCTCAGAAACCTAAGACATTTTAGACCAACTTAAACAAATTAAACAAAACACTGCCTTAAATTTGGCTTGTTTCATTTGTATTTATTGAGTTCCATGGACTAATTAGTTCATCCTAATTTTATGGTTTTCAATGTAGAGTTTGCTAGGAACAAAGTACGTGACTGAGAGGAAGCTGCAGCATCTATGGCTATTGTTCTTCCTGACATTTTGGTTAGCACAATTGTCCCATTTAAAACCTGGTTCTTCCATTCTTCCAGTTCTAACACAGATGTTTGGAAGAATTATCAATGCATATGCTTTGAGATACTACTGTGAAGGCACACTGAAAGTTGGTATAAGATCATGATGGCAGTTCCAGCCTTCCCACTTTGGCTTCTAAGTCAGAAGGCTAGTGATGCTGCCAAGTTTCCAATTCATTATTAAATTATACTTCTGAGTTGACTGATTTAAGCTGTTATCTGGATTGCATAATAGTCAGGTAAGAAGCATTCCCCAAAAAATGAGGATAATAGCTCAGTATTTCTTGGAGCACCAGTGTTGTGGCTAGAGCTGCCCATATCACAGCCTTGCAGTTCTGCATGAATGAGGCTAGCAGTGGGTCTTAGCCTCTGCAGTAGGTATTTGCCTGCTTTATTCATTTAAAGAAATACTGTCTCCTCTGATTTTTTGGCTATTACTTTTCCCTGGCACGGCTGAATTATTTTATAAGACACAAACCTTCCCACACTTCAGCTCACGTCTCTGGCAAGTCAGAAATCTATATTCCTCTGAAGCCAGAATGTATGGATGGCAGCCATGCAGCTGACATGGTTTGATTTAAAAGACTGTAGTGCGAGAGAACGGAGTAATGAGCCCTCCAAAACAGGAGGCTCTCGGAAGAAACTCTTGCTGCTGCACATGACTGACCTTTCTGTTCATTCCTTCTAGTTTCTGCCAATAGCACTTTGGCCTTCACAAGACACATTTCCCAAAAACCTTGGACTAAATGGAAAGGAAAAACATTTTGTCTGCTGTATGAAAACTTTACCCTCCAGGTAAATTCCCTTCTGAATTTACTATTCAGAAATTCATAGAGTTTTACTTCATTTTTGCCACAACATTTTTCCTCTTTCAAGTGCTTACCAGACTATAACACCAGGGGAAATCCTCAGCTCTTAGACCATGCTACCTGTTGTGCATATTTCTAAATAATAACATAGATAGTTATGAATTTATCAATTAAAATATGGATAGGTTCTTGGGAGTGTCCTGAGCAGGGATAGGAGTTGGACTTCAATGATCCTCGTGGCTCTCTTCTGACTCAGGATATTCCATGATTCTGTGATAGTTATTGCAGTTCTTTCCTTAGCCTCCCTTTTAAGTGTCTTTGGGATTCACAGTGAAGAATAATAATAATAGGAAAGGACACCATTTACTGGTTAGATTGTGGTGCTGGTATTTTGCTGCTGATTGTGTCATACCCAGAGAACAATATCTGCCAGAACTCAAAGGGATGACTCTCTTGATAATCTGTGTTGTATTCCTGCATTGCTGCTCTCTGCACAAAAAAAAGCAGAGCATTCCTGTAGATTGATTCTTCCTGCAGGTTTTGTCACTGATACATCTAACAAAATATTTAGTGAAAGCACATCATGATATGACTACGAGTCCCATTCTTTAAGTACACATTTTTTTCTTTGCATGGAGATGTTCATATCCTAATAAACATTCAATTTAGAGTATTTAATTTAGAATATTATTTTAACCTAATATGTTATGTTAGATTTAGCCAAAACACATTGCATGAAAATCCAGAAGGTACAGCTTTAGACCATATGTAGCTCTTCTACGAAATATTGTTTTGACTTAACTGGGATCATTCAGGTATTTAATATTAAGTGCAAAAGCTTTGCTGGGCTAAGACCTTGTGTAAAATAATATCATTCTTGCTTTTACAGAATTAGGGGGAAATATAGGAAAGCTAAACAAGATATATTCAGCTTCCCTGGTATGTTAATCTGAAGACAGAGAAGAGAAACAAAATCAGATGCAAGACCTGAGAAACTGAATTCAAGGTCAATGTAAGTAAAAATGTTTCTCTTGAAAGATTGCACAGAAAAATTTTGAATATAATTAAGACAGAAACATTTTTTGTTTCTTGTTAACATTATATTCCTGTAGTTCATATGGAATAAAGATACAGTTTATTCTTTTAATGATTTTGACATTACAATTAAGGCAGCCATCCTGTTGAAATGGGCTCATAATTTTCATACAATACATGATAATTTTGAAGCTTTCCTTTTGAAAACAAAATTTCTGTTTAAGACACTTGAAACTAAAAGGTTGTTGTTATGACTCCTTTCCTGCATGGAACTTCTGTATATTTTCTTTCCTGCAATATTTTTGCAGTAAAACAATCTTTTATTTTTTTACAAATACAGATAGCAAGGATCACGTCTTCTGTAATCCATTAGACTCCCATAACATATTTTCCTTATTTCAGCCATTAAAAAAATCCTACCTCATTTTCCAGTTTTGAGGAAAATATGCATTTACTGTAGGCAATCTCAATAAAAAAAATGCAGGAGCATTGGTTTATGTAAGCAAATTAGCACTTTTGATGACCTTGGGAGAACAAGCAATTCTACAGCTACACACCTCTCAGTGTTTAAGCTGCAATTAAGCAAATCCATCTGCTGACAGATATCTAAGTTTCATTCATTCATCCAGCATTTTGAAATTCTTTTTCTTTCTCTGTATACTAATTTATAATTGGCCAAATGTAGAAAAAATGGAGGTAAGGTGGTGATGGCTGACTTATTTGTGATAAAGCATCTTTTAGAGCCTGGGATACTCTATTAAAACTGTCCAATTTTTTGGCATTAAGTATCATTTTGGTGTTGAAACCTCTCAGAAAATAGCCACCTTATGCAACAGAGGCTGAAAGGGAGAACTGAATTGAAACAGATAAGGTTTGGATTTGAAATGTCCATATCCATTTATGAACAGTTTTTTAAAGGATACTACAGCTGAGGCACTGAACAGACAGAAGGGATGATATGCCAGCTTTGTCCAGTATGAATGAAGTTTGCTGAAGCTTAGCTGATGATTACATTTAAATTTAAATGATGAGCAAGAAATGAAAAGTGAAGAAGTATTTTGAATGAACAGAGTGAAAGAATTGGTTATATGATGTTGAAATATATAGCCTGCAACAGTTTTGTTTTTTGTTAGGTTTTATTCTCAGAAAATTTTTGTTTGTGTTTTGGTATAGTCTGCTGAATGTGTCAGCTGACTCCTTTTCAGCCCAGTTGTTCCCAACAACCAAAACCAAAACAGTAAACTTTTCAAAATAAAATATTCTGGATATTCTAGTGATATTTTCCAAATTCATTCTGTTTATGCAACATGTTCAAGCAGTCATGTGATTTTTAAAGTCATACAGTCTCATATTATAAATTTTAAAGATTAATTGTAGCAGTAGGGAACAAAGATATGGATTGTCTTGTACATGTGAAGGAAATCACTTTCTTGTAGAAGTTACCCCCCTTTATACCTTTAATCTCAACCAGAGAAAATCCAAACAGAAGAAGAGCACCCATTGGCTCAGCTGCAGTGCTGCTGTCCACGAGTCATAACTATCTCTCATCCCCCAACTTCTTAACAGGGCTTTCTGGTAAACAGAAAATTTAAAAACCTTAACAATTATAACCCCATATCCCACAATTAATAAACAATCTATCCTTATTAAAACAAGCCACAAAGAACAACAGAAAAAAATTCCACAATTCTGAAATTAACAAGTTCAGGTTTACTTTGAATGAAATATTCTGGTACTTCTCTGCTTATTTCTTGCGTATCACTCACTGTTACTTTCAGTAAGTTCTAAGTTTATCTTAAAGAGGAGGTTTTGAGATCACAATTTGGTTAGAGAACAATTTGACCAATGCTTCCCAGCCTCAAAGGCAAATCCTGGCAAGACTTTGAGTGTTTTATGAAGTAACAAGAAGAATGAAAGAGATAAATAAGGAATGGTTCTGTGCTGCCTTGAGCTAGAGGGCATTGAATGAAACTAGCAAGTGCCAATATCAAACTACACAAAAGGATTATTTCTTCACACGATACAATGAAATTCAAACTGCCAAGGCCATGGGCCTTGCCATGGGATGCACTGAATGCTGTTTATATAGGTTCAGAATTTTCCCAGAGAACTTGCAAGGAAAATAAACCAAAAAAAAGCAAAGTCACATTTGGAAGACATTAAAACAGAACACTGCTTGTTGCTTAGCTGTAAATTGCTAGAAGCAGTTTTACTCTGGGAGAGTATTGGTTTGTAATTGTCCTGCTCTAACATTCCTCCTGAGGAATCATTGGTCACTGGTCAAACTGGAATTTCAGTCTAGAAGGGCCTTTAGTCTGATCCAGTATAGGGAAAAAAATCTTCTAAGTAAGTGATGCATACCACATTTTGCAGTAAACTCCCTGATGTACAGGGCTTCATCAGTAAAAGGACAGTGTTAAGTGAAGTAAATTATGTTTCTGACCATGTAACACCTTCAATGAAGGAAAAAACATGGGGTAAGGAGCAGTGACCCAGCAGCCAGACTAATTAATGCTGTGCTAAATAGCAACTGCCTGATACTTCTGTGGAACCTTCTCTTAACATAATGCAATTGTGTTCCTGTGAGCTGGACATAGCAGTCTCATATTTACAAAGACATTTTGCATAGGAAAGGGATAATTTTCTTATCTATGACTTAGATTCCTTTGTTTCTTCATGAAATAAGGCCACACTCAGAATGCTGATCTGTGTGTTGTTCCTAAAAAACTATAAATGTTTATAAATCAGGTGTTTTCCCTTATAAATATCCAGGCATCTACTATTGATGGCTCAATTAAATGATGGCTCATTTAAATTTGCAAGTGTTAAAAATCTCACTGGGCAACTCTAGAACTACATGAAAATTCAAATAAATAATGAAAAGTTATTATAACATAAAACAGTCAATATTTTGGACATCTGTCTGAAGCACAATCAAACAGTCCCTCTCATTATCGAGTTCTTGCAGTTCAAATCAAAGTCTCATGACAGTAGATTATTTCAGGGAATTCTGTGAGGGAAATAAGGAGGGAATAGAAAAAAATATTTATATGCTGTATAGCACATAAGTATACAATGTAGTCAGCATGTATCTATGATTGCAGGAATAAAACATGCACTAATTTCATAGGTTTTGTAGGGCTTTGAGTCCATCATGTTAATGGTGACAAGCACAAGGCCAGAGTATTTAAAATGTTGTTGTTACCTGTGCCCTTAGATAAGAATAGCATACAGTATGGTCTTTCACAATTATAAGAATTTTCAGAAATCAAAATACATAGAAAAACAGAATAAAATTGAAGTGCTTTCTCTTAGAGAGAAGGGGAGAGTGATTTTTAATGATGAATTTGTCTTCAGTGCAGATCAAGAAGTAGTTTTCCTGCAGAGGAGCCAACAGCAGATGAAATCTGTAATGGAAACAGAGAGAGAGCTGGGGACAGACCGCATAAATATGTGCAGTATGTTATTTTTATTCATTCCAAAGTCTGTAATTCAGAAAGGATTTTCATCCTGTTCTTTCAATTTACTGAATAGACCCATTTCATACCCTTTTTCTTTCTGTACAAGGCTAAAGAGCTAATGATGGTTTGCCTTATTTGTTTTCTTCGTTTCTAACAAGCTCTCTGGTTAAATGGTGTGCCATTGTGAATATGGAAACCTGCAATTTTCACAGTAGAATAACCGTGCCCCAAAAAGTAGTTGAGCTGGTAGTCAGCTGCTTATAGGTCTTTTGCCCCTTGTTTTCTGAGTTAGTTAAGAATCCTATTCTACTTTTTTACTAATTAACTGATTTTTTAATTAACTACATTTTGTTTTAAAACTTTTTTCTAATCTGCCCATGGAAAAAGCACTGTATTGGATTTTTTTGTTTAAGTCATGTCTGCATTTTAACATCAGGTCCATTTCTTTTGATCTTTAGATAAACCTTATGGCTATTTACTACCAAGTTGGGACAACAGCTGTTTTTTAAGGCAATGGGTTTTGCAGGCTGATGCTTCCTTTGGGTTATATATTATTTTCTCCCATTGTCAAGGTGTCCTTTTAACTTCACCTCTGGTTTGGTGTTGCTTAATACCCACATGTATTGTAATCCTGCATGCAGTCAAGCTCAGAAGTGAGACAAGTTATCTTCTTTCATTTTCTGTTACTTCTGATACTCTGTTTAATGCTTTACAATATCACCCATCGGATTAGTTCATGTCTTTTTAATGCTTTACAATACCACCCATTGGATTAGTTCATGTCTTTTTATCCCATTATGGAGACTTGGAAAACAAGTTCTCGTGTAATAATTTGTAGCAATGTGTATTTACTTTTAATTCGTGATTCCTGGTCTTCAAAGTGTATCTGTGTGGTTTTATGAACAGCTCTTACTTGCTAAGTGATCATAAACGAACACTGAGATTGTTTCTTGTGTAAAACATACATTTAGTAAAATCTAAATTTCCAAAGTCCTACTAGAATTCCTTGACAATCCTTGTGAAGAACTATTCAAAGAAACTAACACAATTCAAGGAGTTATCTAGCAAAGTAGAGTTGTAATTTTTTTTCCTGGCTTCTACAACACAGAACTTTACAAAAGGTTCAGTATAAAATCTAATGCTACCCACGCTGTCCGGAAATAAGTTTTCCCTTAGGCAGCATCCCACATCCCCTAAGAAAACATGTGGTCTAGGACCTGCAATCCTTTAAGACCACATCATGTTGCCTTAAATTCATCAAGAGCAGCCTTAATTAAACTGTTTGTATTTGTAGGTTACATGAGTTTGTAATGTAATCCTATTACTTTGAAACTCTGAATCTTGATTTCTCGATTGATATCTTAGAAATCTTTTGAGTTATTTTGTTCAGCTGCTTCTTTCATGGTATTGAGTATGGAAGCCCCACCCTCAGTCTGTATAGAGAGCACCTGCATGCTGTGCCTTGACATCCTCTGTAGCTGCTCACAGCTGCACAGCAGCCCCATCTGACAACACTGGCTTTACACAGGCACCTTCCAAAAAAAAAAAATAGGAAAAGGAAACCATTCATTGTCTCTTGTGAAGATTGCTGTTCTTGCCAGCAGCATGAAGACTTTTGCTTTATGGTATTGAGGAAAAAAGTTATCAACAAGGAACTGTAAATGTTAATGCCTAGTAATTTATTGGCTCTCTTTTTTTTGTGAAATTATGTACAGAATGAACTCTAGCATAGTAGCTGTAGGTCTTTCCTTGCCCAGTCTTTGAGGGTTAATCAGACTAGTGAGTGTTTTACCCTGGAGTACCATTATTTTCAGTTCTTGTTTCAAGTGCTACATAAGCAGCAGATAGAGAAAGCTGATTTTAAGAATCCCATTTTAGCATATGGGGGGAAATACTTAACTAAGTTTTCTAAAAGCTGTTGCCAAGACAGCCCTCTGATCTGGCCTGCCTATAGAGAAGCTGCCTACTGCCCCTGTGTCAACAGCTCACAAGCCTGCATGGAAAATTATTCCTCTCTTTTACAAAAATTGTTCATTTTCCAAACAAACTCGTCTTCAGTTGGCATTTTAATAAAAAAAATATTCTCTCGAGGATGCTCACAAAGTCTTGGACACTAGAAGTGGAAAGGACTTTTTAGGTCATCCAGTTTACACATCTGCCTGTGTGTGATTATACACTGCAGCACAGATTTTAATTCTCTGCCTACTGCCTTTTTGTGCCATGTACAAAAGGAAGCAGGATGTCTCAATTCAGTCAAAAAATTCAGTGGAGAAAGGCTCTCATTTGCAGATTCTGCATGTCTTGTTCACCTTAGCTACCATAAACACTTGGAGATTTTGCATATTCTCCTTTCAGACTGAGACCACAACCAGCAATTTTGGCTTAAAATTACATAGGAACTGAAAAAAAACCACTTTTGCAGCTCATTCTTCAATTGTTTATCAGGTTCATTTGCATAAGAACTTGCATAGTTCTAGGTGTGAGAACAGAGTACAGGGTAAAATTGACAATTTGAATTGTTCAGAAGCACAAACTTTTGTCTCTCTTGGTTTTTTCTTCTTTTTTTTTTATGATGAGGCTCTGTCTTTATTGACAACGTCCCCAACTAAATCTTTTCTTGTCTTCCAGAAGTCAAACATTATTTTGATGAGGCTCTATAAGCCATCTCCCATGCTATCTCACTCCTGATTCAGCCCTTTGCCTGCACAAGGGCTGATGCTTCTCGGATTTAAACTGATTTACAATTACTTTGTTCCTGTCAGTGGAATCTTTATGAGATTCAGTCCTCAAAAGAAGGTTACAAAACACCTTTCATCAATGTAGCAAGGTACAAGGTAGTTAAGCATCCTCAGAAGATCAGAGCTATCATAAAAGTGATACTTAAAATCCTTTTTGGGCATAAGGTCTATGGATAACCAAAGATAAATGTTTCTTCATGGGTCAATGGACACTGTAGGCCCAAAGTTTTTGCTGCTGTGCTCACAAAACATAGAGGAAACACAAATGCTTTGGTTTATTATTTATATTTTGGATTTCCAGGACCTGTTCTTTCATCTTTCCTTCTTTTAAGGCACTTGCAAAGAAACTACTACTGTTCTGCTCCAAAATGTAGAAAATCCTGATAATTCTCTAATTAACTGTTCAGTCTCTCTTCAGAGATTCTGAAAAATATCTTTTTGTTTCAAGACTGAGGATATAAGACCCTAGAAACTGCACTTCACACTTCTCTAAGTTTTGCTTAGAGTTTGCTTTGGTTTTATCCACAAAATCTATTTCCTAACACATGGCTACATATTGTGTATTTTGTTTCAGGTCTCTTTAACAACTGAAAGAGCCTTAAAGAAAAAAAAAAAAAAATTAAAAAGAGCAGCATAAATGAAATATTGTATGAAGTTACTGAAGTGAACATAATTTCTACACACAGTTAGAAAACACGTTAAATGTCTTAAGATATTTATGCTGAATTATACCTTGTACAAGGAAGCAATTGTTTATAACATACATAAACACAGAATTTCCACAAAAGGTTACATTGTCAATTTAGTTGCTTACAACCTCTCCTAACATTAAGTTCCAGCTTGCCTTGGTTGTTAGGTCTTCATGAGAGCAAGCATGAAATGGATATGACAACAGGAACAGGGAGGTATTTTGTTTCAAAATACCTTGTTTACCTTGAAAGAGGTACCCAGAAATCAGGAGACTTAGTTCCAATCATTCCACTGAATCAATGAAGTAATTTTGAACTTTGTTCTGCTAAAATATTTGTTATAATGATAAAAAAGTCTTATTTTTATATTTGAGAAAGGACATAATCTTAGAACATCAAATTGAAAATTCTAGTAATTTTTTTATTGGTTCTGGGGAAAGAGCCAGGAGGTCTTATGGACATTATTGCCTTAAAAAAAATACCCTATAACTGAAAAAAACCCAAAACCCAACCACAAAAAAACCCAAAGTGGTTTACTCTGAAGCTGAAAAATAAGAAGCTTACTTAATAACATGTACTTATTGGTCATCATGATATCAAAATTTACTGACAGTTTGTATGTTTTCTGGAACTAAGAAGTCAACTGTTCATTCTTTCCCAGGCTTTTACACATCTCATTGCTATCTAATCTAATGTCCACAAACCCACTGTAAACACAGACTGATGGAAAGTAAACACTGAAGCCTCAGTATCAGATAAACAGAACACTGAAGATTCAAATTTTTCTCTACATAAGTCTTCCCAACTTAATTTACAGCAAGCTTTCCATATGTATCAGTTTTCATGGGACTTTATAAACTTTACATTGTTTTCCTTGAGGATGTCTACAGTTTTCCTTACCATGCAGAGGCTTTGATCATACTTTCTGTAGATGGGAATTTGGAAAGAAAATGAGAGGTGCAGTGTACAATTACAAAATATTATTTAGTAGAGAGGTCAGGAAGAAAATATTTTTCACTTTTCCCAGAAAAAGAATAAAAAGAAAAAAAGACCAATGTCTTAATTTTTGTATGATATTTGTAAAATTTTTGTGCTTCTCTGCCATTAAGACTTCCACAAAACAGAGGAGTGTTAGTGGGAATTTTTGTAGACATGCAGGAGAAAATTGTCTCTCAACATTGCTCTTTTCTTTCATTTTACAAAAGCTAGGGGACAAAAAAGCCTGAAAAGTGGTTTTAAATGAGCTAGGTGAAGGTACTAAAAGAGCATTTGATAAATTACACTGAAGAGGAACACAGTGGAATGTTTTGTAAGAAAAGAGATGTTAGGCCAGTTGAGGATTATAGTATTAGTGAAAACCAAAGTGATGAAGTGTGAAACCAAAAACTGAGGAGTTATGAGAAACTTTATGTCCAGATACTACTGTGGGTGTTTTAGGGGAAAAAAATACTTTTTTAAGCATAGTAAACAAAAAGAAGAATTTCCTATTTGCTAGCATAGACAGAAACTAATGTTGCAGGTGCAGTCTAGGGATCTAGTCATCTGGATTTTTTAATTCACTCAGAAAGTTCAGCCAGTGATAGTCTGAAATTTTCTAATTAGAATATACAAGGAATATTTTTATTGAAAAGGCTGCTGCAAATGATGCATTAATAATAATACATATATATTTAAATCTGTTACATTTCTCCTTGAATTATCTGAATAAAAAACGCAAAATAGGACTGCTGAAGGTGGAAATAAAGATGATAAAAGTACAAGATGATGAATAGGGCAGAGGTGTAAAACTCAGTCCAAAACGGAAAAGACAGATGTGGCCAGGACCAAGGATCTGCAATCCAAACATTACAGAGAAATGAGTAACATCTTTTGCAAACACTCCCCAACATAACTAGTCTTTAGTTTTGTGTGCTCCAATTAGAGGGATTTTCAAAGTTGAGGAGTCAAAAATGTTTCCACCTATTGCAAATTCCTAACCTGCTTTCACCCTGATTTTAGTGCTCAGTGATTAATCAATGTATTAATTTTAGGTTTTCAAGGAAACAGGTGTCCATTTATTGTAGAACATAAAGGTTTCTCCATGTCACTGCATATGGCTATGTCTGCAGCACCAAAAATACCACTTTATCCAGGTGAGTTAGAATAATCCCTGAATTTGCACACATTATTTCTGTTCCTGATAAATTTGTTAATAAATTTTGAAAAAAACTGCCCACCCTAGAAAAGGAATCTCTGGGCTGTATGCAGCAAATTTATTTGCCATAAATTCTTTTAAAAAAAACAATGCATCTTTTAAATAAACATGTGTCCTTCAAGAAGATCACATGGCACACATGCCAGAAATTTGGCTACAAGGCTGGATTGGTGAAAGGTTGGCAGACAGATCGATACCTCTCTGCTGCAGCAACTTCTAAAGTGGCTGCTCATTTTGTGGTGGTTCTTTTTCTTTTCAACTTCTCAGCCAGATAACTGTGACTCTGTCCAGGCCCTGCCCTTCCCAAAGTACACAGAGATTGGGGAAAGGATAACTAGCAACTGTGAAAATAACTTGGACATCCAAATAAGCTTTCCAGGGTAGTCATCTCATGTGATGGGCCAAATCTTGGGAGAGCAAAGACAGTTTATAATAAAATAAATTATATAAAACCATATTTATTTCAAGTGTATTAAGTATAAAAATACTCTTAAAGGCAGAAAGGCAAGTTATACCTTAGAGAAGTTGCACTTTTAAAAAGAGGATGATTTGTGTCATCAGGATAAACAGAGTGAGATTTTGTTTTAAGATAAGGAATTCTAGGTTCAGGTAGATGCAGATTAAACCTTAAAAAAACCCCTGGCCCAAGAGAATATGCCAAAACCATAAAATTATGTTAAAAGGCTCACATGATCTGCAGAAAATATAACTGTTATTTCCCTGTAAACTAAGAAAATATGATTTGTCTGAAACCCAAATATGTCATTTTATCATTCTAAAACTCAATGTAATTAAAAGCTACTCATCATTTGCAAGGTCCTTTTATTAAGGTAATTTTTTTAAGCTCAAAATTCACAAATCCCTAAGTTTCTGAATGCAGTAAGTGGCAAAGGGTAAAGGTGAAGTGCATGAAGTGTTTTTGTTGTAGGGTTATCTCGTTCCAGGATGCATTCTAGAGTGCAGATGGATCAGTCCTTATATTAACTTATTTCAGACAGAATACATTTTGTTTATTAATGTGCCAAAATGTCTTGACTCCAGTTCAGTTCGATGGGTGGAGGTTGTCATGTGTAAAGAAAATATGCTGTTCTGTTGTTGCTGGCTTTGCCTCATGAGTTTGGAGGCAGCAGACAGGAGCAGAGCTCCTCCAGAACACTCCCACAGAGGCAGTGATGGAGCAGAAAGCTCCAGGAGGGCTGGCAGGGCTGAGGTGTCAGCCTTTCTGCCTTCCTGCTCTGTCCTCATGTGATCTGATGTTCCAGTTTCCTCCATTCACAGAGTCCGTGCCTCAAATGTCAACTTCTTGCCTTCAAAACTGCTTGGTCTGGTTCCTCCCAAAACCCAGGTCTCTCAGATTCCTAGCATCCCTTTTCCTGACTACTCCAGCAATGCCCATTCTACACACCTTGGGAGTTCCCTCCTTGAACAGCTGACACACTAGAAGATTTTAGTTACCTGTCTAGACAAGTGATTGTTTAGGTGGTTTAACATTAGTTCTGTTTGAAGGGAGACCAAAACCCAGAACTGCCCAGTAAACTCAACAGAAGTTGGATGGTAACCCATGGCAGACAAACATGCTTTCACAGAAACAGACCTGGCTAAAGATCACTGGTGAAAACGTTCCAAATATTTGTAATAATGTGCAAAGGAACAATTTATAACACTTATTTTACAATCTCAGATTTGTGAATACCATTTTACAGTACATCTGGCTTAAAAATTGAGGAGTCTGTAAAAACACAAACATTTCTTACATCTGAAATTAATGCTAAAATCATGAACCTTGAGTAGTTAATTTGAATTTGACCTAATTGTCAAAGCAAAACACAAAGAAGAAATACTCTAAACACTTTGAGGCAAAGCTTTCTGTTCATGCTACAAACTTACTTGCAGTGAAATAGCAGCACATAAAGAAGATTTAGCTGTCCTTAATTTTTTATTGTGTTGAGGAGTTTAAAAAAAAAAATCATTAGCGTGATGACGGAAATGTTAAAAGTTCAAGCAGCTTCTAGCTATTGATTCCCTGAAGATAGCTGAGAGCCTGCAGGGTCAGCCAAGTAGTGACTTGTGGAAGCAGAGTGTCCTGCTTGTGCCTTGCTGGCTGGCCGTGGGGCTGCTTTATGGCTCTCTGGGGACAGGGGTGAGGGCTTTGGAGAGCAGGCTCTTCAGCTGCCACAGGGCTGAATAGCTCCTCTTCAGTCTTATTGCTGGGGTTTTTCCTTTTGTCCAACTGGTCTCCAGATATTCCCAGTGCTCTTAGTTAACCAAATGATGTGTAGGTGGAATGAGAACTAGATCAGAAGTTCTAAAAAAGAGAATGCTTAAAGTAAAAATGGCAGGTATATACACCATCCAGGAGCCTTGAGATCTGCAGGTGCTCACAGATCCCTCTTCTTGTAAATAAGACAATATGTGCTGAGGTCCTATTTCTACCTTATAGTAGCTGCTCTCTCCAGACAAATTGATAGTAGTTTTTTAATTTTTTTTTCTTCAGATTCATTTGAGATTTTTTTCAGATTTTTTCAGATGCATTTGATCCCGGATTCTCAAGCAGATCAAGCCTGCCCAGACGTGGTTAGTGTAACTCTTGGAAAATCAAAAGTATTTCAATGATAAGGAGTGTGGGAAGGTCCTTTGTATTGCCATGATAAAACTGTGATGTTCATATGGTGTTTAACATATTCAAGTGTCTGACTTACATGTCAATAACTAACATTACATGTCTGACAAACATGTTAATAATTAACATTCCCACACCCATTGCTAAAGTAGTAGAAATAACTCTACAGTGAAAAGTTCTTTCATGTGTCATTTTACCTGACATTTTCACAGAAACAGAAAATAGAGAAAAATTCTTCCTTGTTTATGTTTTCTTTCCACTACTCAGTTCATTAAAAAGAACTTGGTTTGTCTATAAATATGCTTCCTATCTATTTCAACAGTTTCATAGTGATCATCTATGTGTTTTGGAGTTCTGATTTATTTTAAACAAAATCTTCAAAATTTCCTTTCTGCTTGAAGCATATCAGAATGTCATACTTCAATATCAGTTCCAGAAAGAAGCCAGATGCAGAAATTTCTCGGAAGGATTAATGGTTTTTTTGTCTTTGGAGGGGTCATTAGCTCTGCATGAATAGAATAAAGATTCCTTGCTCATTGTATTCCAAAATAGCAAAGCACTGGGTCCAAAGAAAAAGTAGTGCACATCGTTAGCTTGATACCGTTATAAGTTATTCAAGGTCAAATTCTCTGAATTCTTATGGTTTGAATTATTTTTTACTCTTTGCTTAGCAGAAATTGCAGTCCACCCTACTTGTGTACTTTCACAAGTACCACGTTATAAAAACATCTTATGAATATTTGAGTATTGCTGATGACAGCTTTGTAGCTTTTAAAAGATAATGATGAGGTGAATTTTTCTAATGGTCATTTGTTTAGAAAAAGTGTTTCAATAGGGGTTTAAAGATCATCTCTGAAAAGACACCTCATTGCAACTTTGAAAAGGTTTATAAAATAATTAATAAAAAAGACCCCATTGTCCCCCTCCTCCCATGTTTGCATATAGGAAATATTTGATCTAAATGTATGTTGTTTTTTCACCTACATGACATTTTATTCTCGAGTTAATGAAAACATAATATGACCAAAATCCATTGCTGAAATTTCACAGGCCCTATGTTCATCCATTTTTATTAGAAGGTAAAATTCACAAATACACTAAAATGGTGGTGCCATAAATTTGCCCTGAACACGCACACACCTTCTATTAGTGTTTTCTTTGTATCACAATATCAACTGCACTGAGTTGTAGGGAAACTCAGGCTTTCCCAAGACATAATTTGAGAGGCTTTATTTTAAATGGAGGTCCTGATACTCAAAACTTTTTTGATGATAACATCACATGGTGCAGTTTTTAGTTCATACACTGTAAGTGTTACAAATTCTCAAGTATATTGTGCTGTTTTCATTCTCTTGATGTTTCTTGAGGATATGTGCTGTTGCCTTTGTTGAAGAGTACAATACCTGTGGCAGTCAGGTGTGGCAGGAAGGGGTATCTTCTTCAACAGCAGCTGCTAACACAGAAAGCAGCTCTGCCTTCGAGGATAGTGAGGATCTGTCACACTAGAAGTTCATAAACCTTCCCATGATCTGCCCTTGCCCTTGATTTTAACAGTGGCATATCAAACACAGGCTTTTCACCATTTTACAACATGAGGTGACTATTAAATATTACAAACTATATTATGTGACAACCTGTTGCAACGTGTGGCAAATTTGTTTCTCCTTTCCCATTAGCGTTTCAATGCTGTGCATTCCTGCTCTGACACAGCACCCCCCAGAGCCAGACACTGCTTGGCTCTGTGTGTGAAAGGTGTGTAAGAGGGAGCTGCAGAGCTATTCCAAAGTCAAGGATCTTTTATTCTCTTTTGCAACGTGGAACCAAGTAAATACTCTTGTCAGTATGTTTTTCATACTTAATAACCTACAGGGCTCCTGGTTTGTATCACACTCAGGCTAACGTGCGTGCACGCACCTGCAGAAGGCTGCTGTAAAACTTTATCCTGAGATTGCTCCAGGCTAAAAAGCATTAGGACACTGATGGAAAGCATCCTGCAAGTTTTGTCCTTTTTTTGTTGTTGTTGTTTCCTTAGAGCAGTCATTACAAATCACGAAAACAGAAGGAATTGCACTTACTGAGAAGGCAAGGGGTGGAAAGTCATTTATAATTTGTATTGATATTTTTTGTATCAGTTAGTAAAATGGATAAGTTCAGTGGTATACTTAGTACTGAAATGCCCAGTTTAACTTGGAACATGAACCTCGACAGCAGTGTAGCTCTCTGTCACTTGTGTACATTCAAGATCTTAGAAATGTTAGCTATTATAATATTGATTAAATACGTTCTCAGAAATTTGTTCTACCCTGCACCTGTATTTAAGAAATGCTTTGGTTTTTTTTCCTTCAGAAGTTCATCCAAAAGTATAGAAGATCTGAATCTGGGGATCTGCACTACCTGAGCAGTGGCAGAGGACTAATCAGTTTGCAGTGTAATACTCCAGAATGCTTTACTGTTTCATTCCCTGGTGGCACAATTCTGTTTCCAAATGTACCAAGAGTTTGATGGGAATGCCAGTTACATTTCTGAGGAATAATGGTGAGTGTCATCTGGCTGGTGAGGATAAAGTCTGAAGTAACTGACAATCTCCATAATCTGAAATTCACTAAATGTGGCACTGGATCAGGACTACTGTTCATACTTATTCTGCTCACATATTTATTTTGTATTTTTAGAAAATATTCTCTCATCCTTCTGTTGTACTTTCCTGTTTGATTAACATAAGAGTGGCACTTGATAAAGTTCTCAGACCTCTATAGATGGTAAATGTGTGAAGTAGTTAGTATTTTGAAATTTCATTGTTTTTCCAAAGGAAAATTTTTCCTTTCTGAGTAGTTAAAATAAATTAAATAAATGGGTGATATCCTGGGAGCTTGAAAATTCATGGTATGCAGTGCTTTAGTCCAAAATGGCAAAACATGGAGATGCACAGGAAGGCAGCTTATGGGAAACATAGTACAACAACAACCCTGGCCTCCTGGCCTCTAGAAATTAAGAAGTGCAATTCCTAAATGAAAACCAGCACCAGAAGTTCTGGGAATGGAAACAAGCTTAATTCTCTGTAGTGCAAAGAACCCGAGATTTCTGTAACAGCAGGTCAGACTTTCAGTCCTGTGTACATGTCCACTTGTTTGATGCATTCCAAGAGCTGGGTGTTCTGGTGGCCCTGGGAACCAGCAGAAGCCAATGGGAGATCCAAGGTGGGTGGCAGGGGACTGGCACTCTTTCCATGCCAGTGGGATGCAGAGTTGCCCTGGAGAGGGGGGATTTGTATAGTCCTCTCTTCCCATCAGGGGATCTCTTTGCAATCAAGCCTCTGCTTCTCTCCTGTAGTGCCAGCTGAACTGGCTGAACACTGCCACTGCTGTAAACACCAGGACATAGTCACCCACACCAGATCTCTAACCTTGGAATAAATACTAATTGGGCATAGTGGCATTCACCAAGATTCTTTCTACCGCTGCTTCTTTTAATTTTCTGCATTCAAGATTTCTTCAGTGGTGTGGGTCCTGGAGCTTGACTGATCTCTAGCAAGAGTTTGGTGGAGCATCCCTTTGAGGACAGGGGTCCAGCTAGGCTGGGAAGGTGGGATAGGATGTGTTTTTATATAAGACATACTCTCAATTCTTTGCTCTCAAAATCATGATTACAGTATTCTTCTGTAATCACAATGCTGTCCTAATAGTGTTGTTTTACATTGTAATCCTATCAGCCTATTCACTGTTCTGCTATTTGAAGAAAAGGATGTTTAATACCATTCAAATAAGGATTTCATTAATTGGAGGAGGCCCTTTTCTGAACTTTCCATGTGTGTAGAAAATGATGTGCTGAGAAGAATGCATTCTTATATTAAGGAGTAAGGTTTCACACCTCGAAGATATTTATTAGGAAAAAAGTTATATTGTTCCAATTTAAAAGCATATTTCTCCTATTATATTTATTTCTATTTTCCATGAAACACAATTTTTAGGAAGGGAGTTAGAAAGCATCCCATGTCGAAAAAAAGAGCAAGAGGATCTTGAATGAGGCATAACAATTTTCTGATTCACAGAAAAGTTTGAATCAAATTTACATACGGGTTTCAAGCAAAAATTTAAAAATAATTAAATTACCACTCTTCATGCCACAGTGTCTGCAGGGATGAAAATGAATGAATATGTGCTATTTTCATTTGGTTTCCAGATGTTTCTCCGAACTATTGAACTTCATCGCCAGAACCTACCACAACTTGGTTGTTTCTACTTTGGGGACAGGGGTGGGTGTGGGGTTGTGGTATTTCTTTTACTCACTGTATCTAAGAAAATTTTCTCACCCTTTCTTTTCATAGCTCAGACAGTTCTACTGACATACACAGTTAATCTGTTTGAAGTAGGGTTTTTTGTTCTGTAACATTAAGATAAAACCTGCAAGACCATATAGAGCTTAACCATAAAATCAGTTTAATTCAGTAGCATAGCTGCATACCTATTAATATCTCTTTATTATCTTCTTTATGTGTCATTATACTCGATGTTGTTGGTAGAGATTTTGAGATTCTCAAATACCAGGTGGTGTTGTAATGTTCTGAGGACAAGATTCATCTTGAAAGGAAAGTTGTTTTAAAAGCTGCCTTTGAAGAGCAAAATAGATCAACCCATATATCTAAATTAGGGTCCCAAGTTGTTGCTCCATGCATGACATGAATTCATAAGTGGCCCCACTTTCCAACTGCAGAGGTATAGCAGGCTCTATGAAAGGATACTGGAGTTTCAGAAAAAATCCCATAAAATACACGCTGAGAGAATCCTTGCAGTCATCCCTCCAGGCTGTCCACCCACCAGTATAAGCAGCAGCAGGGCTGGTCCCAGCGTGGTATACTTCCCCTCTATCCAGAAAAGCAGCTGGATGCTGTTTCTCCTTTCTAGGAAATCAGTGCGCATTTTGGGACACATGGAACACTTACAGTCCAGAAGAGAACGTCATACCTGCCTCATACCATCAAAACTGGCCTGTCTCGGTTCCTGAAGACTGCTTTTTCTTTTCTTTTTTTCAAACTGGGATTTCATTTTTAATGGACCATTTATAATGGTCTCTGACCTTCTTGCACATCTCCAGTGGCCTTAGAAAACTTTGGGTTTTTTTAAAATTTTGATTTTTTTTTTTTTTATGCCTCAGTAATTCCTTTTCCTTCCCAGCCCATTAATATTGAACAGATCAAGACTTAAAATATTTAATCCTGTGTTCTTCTGTTTCCTAATGTTTCTGTTTTTTCTAATGGATGAGTCATAGTACGGATGGCCTTTTGTTATTCTTTAGTAAATTCAAACAAGAATATTTATTCTCTCATTAGAAAAACAAAAAATCAGCAAACAGAAAAATGTGAAATGATTTTTTAAATATATTGACCATATCTTACAGTTATTTTACTCTTTTTTTTTTTCTTTTTTTTTTTTAATTTAAAAGAGATGTTCAAAAAAATAGTGCTCCTAAAATCTGCTGGATTGCTACTGCTGAAGCCTAAAGCCTGGAATATTTTGATGGAGATGTCCCATAGGAACCAATAGCTGAAGCACAAGAAACCTGGGAATTTCTGGGACCCATATGTGCTCTCTGGAGCAATGGTGATTTGAGCAGAGCCAGCAAGAGGGAGTGATTTGTTTGATGTACCCCCACTTTCTACACCAAGCCCAAAGTTGAAAAGGTATCCTGCTTTTTATGAAAATTCATTCTTGGACTTTTTTTCTGATGAATTTAATACATTTTTTTATTACTTGGAGATATATCAAAATACTATTTCTTTTGTGATTGTATAAAATGAAGCATACACACAAATTCAGATTTTGAATTTATTCTTTCGCTTATTCCTAAATTCATAAACATTTTCTGCCATCTTATATTATTTTGATGTCCAACAACCACAAGTTGCAGACCACAAAAGCCTTTACGAGACACTCTTCTGATAGAAAATCTCATAGCTGTTTCATTAAATACTTCCTTAGGGGCATGGCACTGTGCTATTTCTTTAAGAAGTGGGGCTTTTTTTCAGCTGTCCAGTGGAAATCTGGATCAAAGACAAGAAAAAAGGATTCCTTTCAAAATAATTTTGACACCTCGGTGAAAAGGAGGAGCATCCTCACGAAGGCGTGGAGCCAATGTTCTGAATTAACGGATTCTGTCCCTGGCGACAGGAGAAGGTGCGTGTTCAGTGCAGAGAAACCCCACCCTGGTCATAGATGTCAAATTCCCCAGCATTCAGTACACCCAGAGGTCATTAAACTGGTTTGGCTTCTGTCCCTCCTGCTGGGAAGAGAAAATGCTGTGGGTGCTGTCTCTGGTTCACTCGTATGCAGTCATAATGTTGGCTCTGCCTTAAGAGCCTCCACAGCTGTGCTGTGACACAGTTAGTTCACAACATGACTCAGATGAAGGATTTTATTTAATCTGCACAGGACTTTGGAAAAAAAGAGAATTTTAGTTTGTGGAAACCTTGAGAATGTACAAAGCTTAAAAAAGAGCATATGTGAACAAGAGGCTGGGTTTCAAAACCTGATTTCCCATTGTCTTAGGATAAAATTTCAGTGAAAATTGAAAGATGGGAGAAGAATGAAACCATTTCATTGTTTTGGCTGCCTTTATTCCTGTAATTGTCTGTTGGGGCATCAGTCACAGTTTGCACTGCTTCTAGCTCACAAACAGGAATGGTTGAGAAGTACGTGGCTGTGTTTTGGGGTTTTCTTTGTTTAGTGGCTCCAGATTCAGTTTTTCTTGTAGATTCTTTCCCCCACTGTGCTTTCTGTCACTATTTGCACTATTCACAGTGCTTTATTTCTGTGACACTGTACACTCCTTTTAAAATTTGGGGATTTTTTACTATCAGTAAAATCCACACAGAACAAAAGAACTATCTCGTTGCTGGCATAGAAGTAATTGCAATAGCAAAATTTGATGATTCTTAGTTCAGATTAAGCTCTCAGAAACAAGGAATATTTGCCAGCTGATTCTACAGGCCAGAACTCTGGGAACTTTTAAGGCAACATTTTATATAACTTACTTAAGGACTGGGTTTTCGGTGGATCAGAGGTCCCCTGATAGGTGTGTAAAAGCAAGTTTGTAATTTGTCTTAGGAAGAATGTCACTAACTACAATATCAAACAGACACAGGGAACCCCAGATTGAATTAAAATTCCAGCATCTGATGGAGAGGTAATCAACAGTTTTGATCTACACATCTTTTATGGTATCTACTGTACACAACAAATACATTAAATAACTTTTACATGCAATTGTTTCAGGTTCCTCCATCAAAGGTGTGCCAATTTTGATATGAGTACCTTTTCCAGTTTAGTCCAGATGCCAAGACATTGCACCCCTAGGAAGATGAGTATTAAGCAAGAGCCATCTACTAAATAATCCAAAATTGCCTGCAAGACTCAAGAACCTATTTTATAGGGGGAATGTTTCTGTGCAGAAGATGTGAAAAGGCTGACCTTGAACAGAAAGTGTGCAGAGGATTTTCAAGAAATGTTGCACAGCCTCTTCAGACCACGTAAGTAAAATGGTGAATGCCACTCAAAAGGAATTGACATGTGACAGTAAGTGGCAATTGCCAGAGAGTTTTACACTAGAATTATAAAATCAATTCTACAATCACCATTATACGAAAGTAGCGCTGATGAGGAATTTTAATTTAGCTGA